TGAAGTTTTCCAAAAATGTAAAAAATTGAAAGATATTTTTCCGTTTTGGATGAAAATTTTCAAAAAATTAGAAGGGACTGTTGATGATGCTATTGTTGCAAAGATAAAGAACAATTAAGATGTTTCCTTTCAATATTGTCATTAGCACACAATTTCACCTTCTCCCTTCATATTTCTTTTAATTTTCAGGTTTTGGTTTATTCATGATGATGGTTACTTTTACCAAAAACAACCATGATGTAAGATGACCAATGACTAATGATATCAGGAGTAGAATAATGCCATTAAGGTCGATGCATAGCAGGAAGGCCGAATGTAGGATCTTAACTCCATACCTAACAATATTCTAGTGTGCTATCCAATTTAACTGTTTATTGCACGGGTATAAAATAATGGAACTCTTGTCACTTTGTTTTTTGAAAGTGAGGTGAACGATGTTGTATATGTATTAAGATGAACAATGTCTTATTAAGAAGTTGTATCTGATTTAATGTATAATTAAACTTGCTTTTTTCAAGACAAGTTGTGACTTGATCAAGACAAAAGCCAACATATATTTCTTGACAGATCATTCCAGACATCAAAGTGTGAAGTTAAGTATTTGAAGTTTTGTGTTTCTTTTAATAAAAGGATCAGCCCTTTCTTAAACTATTCATACTTTCTAGAACACTCTGCACAATTTAAACAGGATTTTTATCAGTTATCTATTGCTCTGTGGATTAATTTAATATTAAATATAAATTTCTTAACAATTAATAATTTGTTCTTCTCCCCCCCTTAATATTTTTATATGTCAACTCTGTTTTCAAGCAATGGCAGAACAAATACCTATTACAAAAATGTCATGTTAAGCTCTGATTTTCTCTGTTTTTCAAATGTATAAAAAAATAATATTGCTTCTAATATCCAATGTATTAGTTTTCCTGTTGGATTAAGTAGATATATAAATAAAGAGTATGAGAACTGTTTGTATTTTAAAGGAACTTATTTAGGGAATATTTTCTAAGGAATTTATTGGAATCTACTATTCCATATGCATACAGCTAACCCAACTTGCTGTGAATCAAGTCCCACACAAAACAATGGACATAATTTAAAAAGAATAATAATATACCAGATATTTTTCTGTATTACTGATATATCAAAATAGGGCCAAATCTAAAACAGAATTACATGTTAAAATTGATCAAATACCAAGATATCATAAAGTTCTAGGATTTTAAAATTGATAACACTGTGGCTTTTTTTTTTTTTTTTTTTTTTTTTTGTAATGCTATAACATATTTAAAAGACTAGAAGTCTAACTTCTGCTATTGTTATATTGATATTATACAAAATGTCATATTAAATATCCCTTTTTTAGATATATGTCAATTTGCTAATCTTTACACTCGAAAAAGTTATTTCTCAAAAGTAAACACCCTATATTCTGGTGTATAATGCACACTTTCAATACAATAAATAATGCTGAAATTTATGGGTGTTTGTTACATTCCAGATATAGAAAGGATAGATTTAAAAATAAGGAATGAGTTAAGAAAAATTAGATTTCTATACATAGCAAAATGCTGGTTATTTAAAAGAAATGACATAACTTATGAACTTAAAAATTTTCATTATCAGATAACATAAAAAGTTCATCATATATTCACATTCGTCTTCTATTATAGCTTCAGGCACATCATCGAATTCTGTTTCACCTTCACAATCACTTTCAATCTGATTCATAAATAGATAATCATCTTCCATTCCATCTAGATTATTAGATATACTGCACTTTTTTCATGACATTTGTTGTTTCATGAATTATGTTGGGTTTAATTTCATTCTATGCTTTTATTATCCATTTACACACACACTATTATTAAACTGACATGATGCATCTGACCTTCTTTTGTAAATGTTTTTCCACCTTCTAACATCCATGTACTCCACTGTTGCAAATTTTCTCTGAATGGTTTATTGATACACACACCTAAAGGCTGAACTAATGTCATTAATCTGCCTAGAATAACTGCTATGTCTGTATTACTTTTTCTTCTTCAATGGCTCGACAGCCCTGGGTGGGTCCTGGCCTTCTAAAGAAGTATTCTCCAGGTATCTCTACTTTGGGCAACTATTTGTCTGTTTTACACTCTTTCAATAATTTCTTCATATTATCTGATAGATGTGATCTGAACATGGTTTTAATTTTAAACTGCTCACTAAGCAGGAATGCACTATGTGAAGATAGAACTTTTGTGACCTGTTGTTTTTATGTGAACCGTTTCTGTTCCTTTCACATAAATTGTTTTATTTCCTATGATATCAAACATAACTGGAGTTTCACACAAATTTCCAATATGTGACAGTAAATATTTGTTTTCTTCGTAGGTCAATAACATACTTCTGGAAACTAATCAATTTATTATCCAAATCTTTTGGAAGCCTTTGCTAAACTTTTGTTTTTTCTAGTAGTACTAAATTATTCTGTGCCATAAATCTAATACATCAATTCAAAGTTCCTTAAAAGTTTCCATTTGCATTTGCATTCTTTACAGCTCACTTTAAGGCAAATAAACATATACTGCTTCTTGTTATAATTAATCCATTCTGGTGCTTTTCTTGGACGCAGTTCACAACACTTTCTTCTACGAAAGGCTATTTCATTATTCCTTTATGCACAGCACATTTATTCTTTGGCATATAAATTATTTAGGTATGGAGATTTCACAGCACCAAAAACCTTGCCGCAGCACGATTTCCTTTTTTTTCGCAAAATTAATGGCTTTGCATTTGAAACCAGCACTGTGTTTATTTCTTTTTATGGGAGAATATTTACTACTAAAAGGAACGCTAGACCAACTGTATTTCAACTGAAGTAAATGCGATTTACTAAAGCCTTTGATTTTCACTTCAAAAGACTACAGTAAGAGAAAACATTTAACTTCTAATTCCACAAATTCATTCAGGTTGGAAGAACATTCTTACTCCAAATTATATTCCCCTTTTCTCAAAAATCAAATAGCATTCTTTTGGATATTTGCATTGAATACAATCTACCCTCTTTGCAGGAATATTTACTCCCTCAAGCATTTAACCCACACACATATTGTTCTCCTTATTGCTTGTCAATTCGGTATAACGTTGTTCAAAAGGCTAGGAAAATCTTCTACTAAGCGACCTGAAAAGATAAGACCATTGTACATGTATCTTTCAGGTTTCTTCATGTAGATTTGGGTGTGCATTTTATGGTGAATACACCTAAAAATTAAAAAATGTAGCTTAAAATTACAGATGTGCGTTGTACATCAGCGTGAGTTATACGCCGGAAAACATGATACTACCATTTTAAAGGCTTTCTATATATATATATATAGTCAAAAGTCTTTAACCGGATACGTCAGGACTTCGGTGATTCCCGTTTCCAGATTATAGATCATCAGTTTAAATCTGGTAAGATGGCATGCAGAAATTATAAAATTAAAAATATGAAACCGTAATTTATGAAATAAAGAGCAATCATGATCTAAAGGATATCAAAATTTTCCAAAAAAAAGCTTTATATTTATTTGTTTACTTTATTAAACATTTCTTTCAACGTGCGCATGCGTAAAGCTTACATTATGCATAGTCGAAATTAGAAAACTGCAGCCAGAAAACTATTTGATGTGTATTCGTGATATTTATTATGACGAGGAATTTGATTTAAATCATATCAAAGACGGAGTACATCGAGATGAAATACTACATTTAGTAAGGAAATATAAGCCGAATAAAATAAAAACATCTGCCCTGAAGATAAGGATAGTGCTGACTGATCAACTTCCAGTTCATTGCGCGCCACGTTGTCCCCCCCCCTGTAGAGCAGAGTGAAATTGATAAACATATTTCAGAATGGTTAGAGAATTAAAGGATATGTTATCCATTTTTTGCAGCAATTCCACTTAAAGTTTGATGGACATCGAAACATGCTTTCACTTTATAGATCCTTTGGTAGCTCCAGAATCGGAAATTCTTTTTGACGTAATCGAAAGTTCAAGCTTACTTTTATAAAATTGCTCTAACAGTCTACAAAAAATAATAAGCGGGATCCAATCTGCAACATTAACTGAAATAGATAATTAGATAATTTTAGCTTAGCTTATACCGTCCGTTATACATTAAACGCGTATACATAAAATGTATTATGCACATGCGTAAAGGTATTATGCACATGCGTTAATGCATTATGCGTTGACGCATGCGCAGAAAGTTTGTAGCTTTGAGGTGCTGATTATAGATCATTCCGGATTATAGACATCCGGATTATAGACTTTTGACTGTATATATTTCTTTCTCCAAGACATAATCAAGATTTTAGCAGATATATTTTTCACTGTCTAAATCAGCAGTTTCTAATAATTATTGATTCATGCCCTCCCCTAAAACATCTCATTATTTCCCTTTACCTTCATTTTCAGCTTCATCAGAGTGCAAAATTGCTTTGAATATAATTACATGAACTTTTTCTCCAACTGTACTATTTCATAAAAACACTGTTTCCAGTTGTTTTTGGTAATATCCGTGCAATAGTTAAAACTATGCAATATTAAGTTATATAATAATTAGGATTACTCTTTTACTCTTTTTAAAATAATAAACTGTTTTTGAATTTTCCTTTCATTGTTGATAAGTAGCTATGTCATGTCACTAAAAGCCATCTCTTAATACAGATTTCGTAGCTCATCATTTTTCTCGATAACTATGTAGACATACATTTTCTAGTTTAACAATACAGACACACATTTCCCCGCTCACTATTTTTGCATGAAACATGCTGAAATTATTTATTTTAAGTACAAAATACTTGCCTCTAAAGAGTTAAAAAAATTTTGATTTAAAAATTTGGTACTGAATGGATTAGGTATTTATCAATTAAATGTTTATTCATTGTTTCAATTAAAGAAAATTTGGTTTAGGAAGATTTTATTGTTTTTTAAACTCTGAAATTAGTAAATATTTTTGAATATTAAACTTACCATGTACTGGTTGGCTTGTGCTGATAAGCTGCATATGATCCATCTTCTTTCCTAAATGCAAGCTGATTACCATAACCTGAAAGGAAATCGTTTCATGATGCATAAATTCAAAATTTAACTTTTTTGTTAACATCACTAAACTAATATCTTTTCTATTAAAAAATTTAGACACTTTGATTATATCAAAACATGAAGTATTCATATTCTTTCTACTAGTCAATATTTTTGCAAAATTTGGTTCGTAAAATTTAGAATTGTTTCAGTCCTTGATTAGTTTATTTATCATGAGTAATAAGTAAATATTGTTATAATTTCTTTTAATTACACATTACATATGTCATATGTACTATTTCTACATGATATTAGTATTAGTATATATTTAAAAAATAAAATATGAAACAAAAATAGTAAACCTAATTGGAACCATTTCGCAACAGATCTTCAATTTCATAAACTGTAATTAAACACATTCATGCTTTAAAGATATCCTTTGCACTATTTTGCATGACTCTTTCCCTGTAATTTCTCTGCACTGCAACATCTTTAGCCCAATTGCTGTTCAGGATTAACACAAAGACTTTCCGGCTATAAATACCACTGAAGGTAGTAAAAATTACCTTTTTCTTGTCTGTGGCTGCTTAAGCAAGCCCTGTCTCTCCATTTGCCTTCCTTCTTTATTGTTTAACATGTAACCTTTGTGTATAGAAATTGTGGGGCTTTTCTAGCAGCCCTAGTGTTGAACCAGTTTTAAGGATAAATGTATTTTTGTGTAAAATAAAAAATGATATTTTAACCCTCAAACTAGTTGTGATTTTTACGCCAGTCATCATCTAAGCAACAGTCTTCTCACCCATGATTAAGGAGTGAATTGTTTTTCATCTTCTGCAAAAATTGCATCATCACATTGTGAGAACACAGAATTCTCACAGTGAACACGGTGGCTGTATCGATTCTTAAATTGTTATCGTGCCCTGCCACGTGCATTGCAGTGGATAAAAACTGGAAGGACTGGTTTTGTCTTTCTCTTTCTGCCTGTCGTCGTGTTAATGAGTGTGTGGGCCTTCGGGCCACACATACACAGATACAGCTCTCGCCATCGTCCACGGTACTCGATCTAAAGTCCATTTTCAATGATGGAGGAGAAAATATGTTCTTGTACGAAGAATATAAGAAATCAGGTAAACTTTACTGATTAGGCTGCGAGGTAAAAATTGTTCCTGTGCTGTGACTCAACGTGTATAATCCTGACAGTTGGATGTTTCGAAAGTGACGACCATGTGCGCCAATTTCAAGCCTATCTGCTAGAAATTTGATCTCTTCTATCACGAAAAAGTGCACTGTATATTAATTAAGCTTCTTGCAAGATGCTGATAAGTAATGTGCCTGTGATGCAGCAAGATTAGGAATTGCAATATACCGTAAAAATGAACGCTGTGACAGTCCCGTCGGACTAACGAGTAGGACATGCCGAAAGGGCATTCATGAATGTGTTTTTTTTTCTTATAACATATCGAATATAGGCTAATCAAGAAAAGTGTATTTTGTGATTTATATAGGTTAATCAAGAAATGTGTGTTTTTGTGATTTAATAAATGTATATTTAAAAGAGAGATACTGATTCATGCATGCCTTATTGGGTAAGTCATTTGATTCTTATTATTAATAATCAATGTACTAACTACTAAATTTTTAGATTAACAATTTACGCAGAATTAATTCGCATTTGATACTCTTAGTATAATTACTTTTATACGATCACGGCCAGCAACACCACATTTATGGTGCTGTGACCAGGATTATAATAATAAAGGCACATTTATGGTGCCGTGACAAAAAAAAAAAAAAGGAATTTAAGTTTTAACTGTTTGATTTCAGGTAGAGAACCATTTTATGCTTATGCCTAAAAATATAGCTACACATGTTTGATAATTGCTTAAATATTTTGAATTTTATGATGATGTCTGATATCAAATAGGTGAATATTAGTAATGATTGGATAAAATTTTAAATTTTGTGTTTATCTGATATGAATCATTAAAGAAAAGTTGAAAATTGCATATGTAAAAAAATATATATAGATATATATAGAATTCCATATGACTATGTTTTCTGCTAATGTGAAATAATTTAATGATAAAAATAGATATGTGAAAATGGTAATATCAATTCAAAATTGGTCAGTATTTAAGAAATTATTCCTGAATGTATATCATATTGTGTGGTAATGAGTATGTAATAACTTGTATCCATGTGAAAAATTTCGATAAGTTACAATAGTGTATTTATGAATGTACTATATATTAGAAGTAATAATAATAGTAATTTATAGTGGTACTAAAGGATAGTAAATTGATTTAGAATGGCTAAGAAAAATAATGTAATGAATATGAGTCTGGCTACTGCTCTGCCTACTTTTTCAGGGGAGCATGACGAAAATATAACATTTTTTTTAGATCAGTTATGCCAAATGGCAAATTTAGAGAACTGGAATGAGAACAGAAAAAGTTTGGTGTTAAAAATTCAATTGAGGGGTAAAGCATTAAAATTTGTAATTGATAATGAATCGTGTAAAGATATGTCATTTGATGATTTAAAAGCATTACTAAGTAAAAAATTTGCAAAATCTCAGTCATTTGACACAATTCAAAATAACTTTAACTCAATTAGACAGACCCCAGATCAGTCAGTCGAGGACTTAGCGGAAAAAGTGAATACTTATGCCACAAAATATTTTGGGTGCTATCCTAGTTCGAGTGAAGAGGTACATAACCTCACTCAAAAAGCAATGCTTTCAAAATTCTTAGAAGCTCTCAGACCAGATTTAAGACTGGAGGTTAAAAAACTAGGACCTATTGATTTTGCTACTGCTGTTAAACAGGCAAAGAACATAGAAAAAGCATTGGAGGATTCTGGTAATAGCTCACAGACACATGATTTTTCACCTGAATTAAATACATTAATTATGCAACAAATGCAAAATAATAGAGCCATTGAGGATTTGTCAAAAAAATTCAATGAAATTTTACCTAATGGTAGTGTAAACAATGTAACTAGCCTAGAAAATAATGCTACACAAAGTAGTAATAATAGAGAGTCTTGTCATATTTGCCAACAGAATCATTGGACTACAGAGTGTCCTTATTTTCCTTCAAACAATAATTTTCAATATTATAGACAGGCTAGAAACAACCACAGAAGAAATTTTTATAGGGGTAACTTTAGGCCACAATACAGAAGATACAATACTCGTAGAAATAATTTAAACTAATGAAGGGTACTTGCAGATCTCTCACATACACAAAGTATTACTCAAGTGCCCATAAAAAAAATTTGGGGGAAACAAGACAAAATTAAGAAAATAAGGAACTCAAATAGGCCAAATACACATGAAAGATTCCGACACAAAATTAAAGAAAGTAATGAACAAAAATTGGTAGCTTCTTGCCAGACTAATAGTATCACAGAATTACCAGTAATAGAAATCAAATTTGGCGACTTTGGGGTAGAGGCATTACTTGATACAGGTGCAAATTTAAGCTTAATACAGACAGACACCTTGCAAGTAATAAAAAATTACACAAAGATTCATTACTTAAGCAGATCTGTAAGAATACATACGCTAAATAATGCTACTATCCCATATTTATCTGCTGTAAACTTAAAATTTCGTTTAGGAAATAAATGGCTTGCCAACCAATTTTTTGTTACACAACATAATTGGAACACAAAATTATCAAATGATTTTAGGGTATGATTTCATTCAAAAAAATAAGATACTTATAGATGCAGATAAAAGTCAGTTAATCATTGATAACACATATTTTGATCTTTTGGACAAAAGAAAAAATTGTACTAATATTAATGCAAAAAAGGTAGACAAGAATAGTAGACCAGAGGAGTCGGGTATTGTAAGAGTAGTATTGAATACCAGAATTGCGCCAAATACAGCAGAGATAGTAAAGTTAAGCATTCCAATTAATATGCAGAAAGAAAAGCAAATAATGTTCTCACCAGACAGGCGAAAAGTGGGCAAGATAGGTATGACTGATTCAATTCATGAGATAAGTGACAGGCAATATATATTCACCATAATTGAAAACAATTCCAATTCCGCAATTATTCTAAGAAAGGGTGAAAAGATTGGTAAGGTATATAAAGTCGAAGAAAAACAATTTGAAAAACCTAGAGAGCAACAAAATTTGCAGATTAACCATATAACTTTAAAAGAAATTAAAAAATTAAGAAAGGAGGAATTAAGCCCAGATGATTTTGATTTAAGTCATTTAGAAGCAGAACAAAAAAATAAGATGATTGAAATGCTCATGAGAAATTCAGCTGTGTTTTCAAAATCTTACACCACTCTGGGTGAGACTGATGCTGTCGTGCCACAATTTAATTTATTACATAACTTTCCAATTCAAACTAGACCATACACTATTCCTCGCATTGCTAAAAAATATGCCACAGAGGAGATAGCCAAATTGTTAGAAGCAGGTATTATAGAGCCATCGACATCGAGTTACAGTTTTCCAGTAATTTTTGTCAAAAAGAAAGCACCACCTAATACTGATCCTAGCAAATTAAAATTTAGAATGGCAGTAGATTATAGATTGCTAAATTGCATAACTGAATCATATCAAATATGTCTACCTAAGATTTCAGATATTTTGCATAATATAGCAGGTAAAAGTTATTATTGTGTGCTAGATCTTAAGTCAGCATTTTTTCAAATAAAGTTAGATCAGAAAGATAAAGAAAAATTAGCCTTTTGCACGGAACTTGGCAATTTTCAACCAACTCGGTTACCTTTTGGTGCAAAAAATTCATCTGCTTATTTCCATACTCTAATATCAAAATGTTTAGGTGAATTGCAGGGTCCAAATTTACAATATTTTCTAGATGACATAATTGTTGCAGCTAACAGTATAAATGAACTAGTAATTATTTTACAAAAGGTGTTTGACAAGTTAAAAAAATTTAATTTAACATTAGACCCAGCCAAATTGCAGTTATGTAAACAAGAGATTACGTATTTAGGTTTTTCGGTTAATAAGAATGGTTTTGCTCCTTCAGAGGAGAATATTCAGAAAGTAGCCAAATTTCCTAGGCCAAGAAATGTGAAAGAGGTTCAAACATTCATAGGCATGGTAAATTATTTTCGACACTTAATTTTTAATTATGCAGAAATTGTCAAGCCAATAGTAAATTTAACAAGAAAGAATATACCATTCGTGTGGAACGAGAGATGCCAAAATGCATTAGATAAAATACAAGAATTAATTTTAGAAAAACCCACAATAAAAAACATAGAAAATGATAAACCTTTATATTTAGTAACCGATGCTTCTAGATCAGCCATTTGTGGCATATTAATGCAAAAAAATGATGAAAAGTTTTTCCCAGTACAATTTTACTCAAAAATTTTAACACCTGCTGAGGCTAGATATCCTTCAATTAGGAGAGAACTTTATGCAATCTTCAGATCAGTAAAGCAATTTCACGAACATCTGTATGGGAAAAAATTTATAATATTAACTGGATGCTAAACCTCTGACTTTCCATATTAGTCTTGACAAACAGCCAGATATTGTAGCACGCTGGTTGTTATATTTACAGGAATTTCAATACACGATGGAGCATATTCCTGGTTTAAAAAACCCAGCAGACTACTTGTCAAGAGTTTCAGAGGATGTAGTGGTAAACAATGTAAATATATTTAAGACCAATGATAATTTGTCTATTCAAAACATAATTAGTAAACAGCAAAGTGATCCAGACATAAAATCAATTATAAAAAAATTACAGGATAACCACAAAGAAAGTGTAGAACAATATTTTATTGATAGTCATACAGATGTAGTAATGATAAAATTAAAACCTGTAAATATTAGAAAGAAAGACAGAAGTATCCAGAATAAAATTCTAATTCCTAAGGCATTAATTAAAGATGTATTACAGACAGTTCATGCGCCTCACTTTGGTATTCAAAAGACATATGAGTTTGTAAAGGCAAAGTATTATTGGAAAGGTATGTACAGCGCGATACGAAAAGTTTTGTAGAAAATTGTTCAGATTGCTTACAAAATAAGTCTAGACCTCACAACACTCTGCCACGTCTAATTCCTAAGAAAGATCTTGCTCCTGGAGAGATGATAGCTATAGACATAGTTGGTAAACTGCCAAGATCCATAGATAATAAGTTTTATGTACTCACTATCATTGATCATTATTCCAGATATTTGGAAACAGTTCCGTTAAACAACTGCACTTCTCAATCCATCATAAAATCTTTAAATGATTATTTTGCCAGATTTGGCATTCCAAAAATTTTGTTATCAGACAACGGTTCCTATTTTTGTTCCACAGAATTTAATCAATTTTTAAAATCGCTTAAAATAGAACACAGAAAAAGTTCAATTTATTATCCACAGTCCAATGGGTTGATTGAAAGAGTTCACAGGGTAATGAAAGAATCAATTGCAGCAATATCAAACAAAATATTTGAATGGCCACAAAAAAAGTACTGATGTTTAAACTGTATTATAATAATGCTAAACATTCTGTAACTCAATTTTCACCAGCAGAACTATTTTTTGGTAGAACATTAAATACTCCCATAGATAGCAATGATCCTCTTAAATTAGCAGAAGAATTTCAGGAATATTCCAAAAGAATAAAGGAACAATTGAGTAGAGATAAGCAACAAGTAAAATTAAATGAGGATGAATACTTTAATTGTGCAAAAAAATATTTGAAAGGGAGAAAAATTCCAGAATTGAAATCAGGGGATAAAGTTTTTATGCAGGAATTTACTGATAGAAGGTATGATAGAAGGAATTTACTGATAGACATCCAAAATACAATGGGCCATGTGAGATCATAAAAAAGCTACGAAATGATAATTATATAATACAATTAGAGAATAAAACCACTAAAGTTCATGTAAGTAAATTGTTTTTACAAAAGCCTTCAAGAATAGATTCAACACAAAATGAGGATTAGGAGTGTAACACAATTGTAAATTGTAGATCAGCAAATCAAAAAAAAAAAAAAAAAAAAAAAAAAAAAGAAAGAAAGAAAGAAAAAAAAAGTTTAAAGAAGTGATTATGATAAGAATGTAGCAGGTGTACAAGCTAGATAATGAATGATGATCATGTGTGGTATGGGTCAATTTAGTGTAATAAAGCGCTAATTGCACGATTTTGGTAGAGTTGGCTGGTCCATATACCAGAAGAATTGAATTGTACTATGCAGGGTCTCATTGATTACTAGGTAGCAGATTAAAAAAAAAAAGAGTGTGGTTCTAAATCTCCTTGTCTTACTGCTGAATCAAATTGAAGGTATGTAATTTAGTAGTGGATCTAATACAAATGTAGCTTGTAACAATGTCATGACACATTGGTATATGAAATGTATATGTGAAATGAATATGATCAAATGATAAAAGTAGCTAAGTAATGAAATAGTGAATGTGATTCTAAAATGTAAAGAATGAGATAATGTAAACAAAGGTAAACAATGGTTAAGAGGAGTAACATCAAAATTGATAATGCAATATCATTAGTAATTGATAAATTGAGTTTATCACATGTGAGTTATAAAATATATATGTCAAAATTTCTTTTATGGAATCCCATCTGTGGTGATATTTTAGGTAAGAGTAGACATGCATGAGTACGTAAAAGAATAATACTAATTTAAGAATGTAAAAAAAATGTGTATCACAAAGTGTTTAAAGTGCTGTGTTTTTTTTTCCCAAGCAATGTGAAAAATTAATGTGAATTATGTGTGTATAGTGCATACGAGGGCTCAACTGTGTGCATGTAATGTGAAATGTTTATATAGTGCCAACGAAATGATAAAGTGCAGTGCCTTTGCAAGTGATATAAAGATTGGTGTGAAATGTGTATGTGATGCTGACGAAAGTTCAAGTGTATCCAGCAGAGAGGGATTTCATTTGTCCAGTGATCGGACAAATTTTTTTTTTCTTCGGCCGGAGGGAATGTGAGAACACAGAATTCTCACAGTGAACACGGTGGCTGTATCGATTCTTAAATTGTTATCGCGCCCTGCCACGTGCATCGCAGTGGATAAAAACTGGAAGGACTGGTTTTGTCTTTCTCTTTCTGCCTGTCGTCGTGTTAACGAGTGTGTGGGCCTTCGGGCCACACACACACAGATACAGCTCTCGCCATCGTCCACGGTACTCGATCTAAAGTCCATTTTCAAGGATGGAGGAGAAAATATGTTCTTGTACGAAGAATATAAGAAATCAGGTAAACTTTACTGATTAGGCTGCGAGGTAAAAAATTGTTCCTGTGCTGTGACTCAACGTGTATAATCCTGACAGTTGGATGTTTCGAAGTGACGACCATGTGCGCCAATTTCAAGCCTATCTGCTAGAAATTTGATCTCTTCTATCACGAGTAAGTGCACTGCATATTAATTAAGCTTCTTGCAAGATGCTGATAAGTAATGTGCCTGTGATGCAGCAAGGAATTGCAATATACCGTAAAAATGAACGCTGTGACAGTCCCGTCGGACTAACGAGTAGCACATGCCGCAGGGCATTCATGAATGTGTTTTTTTCTTATAACATATCGAATATAGGCTAATCAAGAAAAGTGTATTTTGTGATTTATATAGGTTAATCAAGAAATGTGTGTTTTTGTGATTTAATAAATGTATATTTAAAAGAGAGATACTGATTCATGCATGCCTTATTGGGTAAGTCATTTGATTCTTATTATTAATAATCATGCAATGTACTAACCACTAAATTTTTAGATTAACGATTTACGCGGAATTAATTCGCATTTGATACTCTTAGTATAATTACTTTTATACGATCACGGCCAGCAACACCACACACATATATGCAGTATTCTTAATAAGATTTTTTTTTAATTGTTTGTATGTTTCAAAGTAAGTGAGCCAGTTTTATATTAGTTTTCAAGTGTTAAAGTCAAGTATGATGACAAAATTTTCTTCCTCTCACAAACTTTTTTTAAAATTTGGATAATGCTTCCAAAAATTCCCTCTAAAAGAAAAAAAAAAAAAAAGAGAAAGGGAAACACAGAGTAGAGGTAATGATCACTGCATAAAATTGCATTGAGTTTCAGGCGCATTAAAATGCCTAAAGTCTCTGATACTCATATTTTTTGCATTACAATCTAAAATCAATTATTAAATTTTGCTTTTTCTTTATAAGCATTATACAGACAGACAAAAAATTTACATAAATTAATGGTACTTTAAAAATATTTTAAAATTTTAAATTAAAGAATTCATTAATAATCAATGTAAGCTAAGATGAAAGTAAATAAATTTTTCTGACATACCCTGACGTATATAACCATAACCTTTTTCTTCAACTTCTGGAGTAATTTTGCCTTTAACTTTTAAATACCTCATTGTGTATAAAGTTGGAGCCAAGAACATCATATTTTGCTCCCCACAGCCACGAGGTTTTGTCAGCAATTTGTCAGGATTATTAATAGTTGTATCAACGGCAGGTCCTAACTGATCCCCTGAAATATAAAATTATTACTAATCTTTACTTAAAATAGAAATTAGAGAATAGAAGCAAAAATAGCATGATATTTAATGTCCTTTTCCAAAATCAGAGTATTAATGAAGAAAATGTTTTTACAGTTATAAACACTCTTGTGCCAGACACCTTTTTTTAAAAAAGAAACTCAGATTGATTCTTACTTATTGACTCAAAATTTTGCTCGAATCTATGCTTCTTGAACTTAACATTCACTAAATGTAACAAAACGGCACAATTATCAAACACAAAATAAAAACAGAGAAAAGTGCTTTATTAATTAAATAAGAAAAGAAATTTTGCTTTTCATGTAAAAATATTACTTTTAAAACCTGAAAGATTTAAATTCCTCTCTTTGCAAATACATACGATCTAGCTCAGCTTCAATAAGATCCCAGTTTGACCAAAATAGTGAAAAAAAGATCTGATGTGTATATCACATGACTTCCTTGTATGCCTATTAAATTATACACATTTTTTGCTACATTTCATTTAAACTTATTTCCTCAAATTATTTTAACTTAATTAACCAATCCCTTAAGGCGAGTTGAAAATAATATCAAAAACTGCAAATTTTGAAATTAAATATCCTGATCAAATTTCTTGCACGGGAGTCAAACTTCTTATATTCTTATTTTTTTTTCATAACCATTATTAAATTTTTCCAGACATAAATATAGGAACCAGGAGACTACAGTAAAAGTAAGATTTTGTTATTTGTCCAAATTATTTTTTTTTTTAATTTAAAATTTATAAGGTATTTCTCCCACCTTTTTAGCATGCCTTCGTGGTGTAGGGGTCAGCACGCTCGGTGTGTATTTGACAGGTCCGTGGTTTGAGTCTCGGCAAGGGCACTGCTCTTTTTTCATCTCTCCTGCTTTCAAAATAACCTAATGTCTCTACAAATTGCCAAAACATTAATATTTTCATCATCTTAAAGCACTTGTGTAACTGGAAGTATATGTCTACAATGAACGATTACAAAAATAAAAGCCAATTCTGTTACTGCCGATGGCAATGAAAAATAGGAAGTGCACTACACTAGATGTTATAGCAGTCTCTATGTAAAATTTCAATTAGTTTTTAAGTTATGCAAGATGTATGTAGGTATGCACACACATTACAAAAAAATTTCTGAATCCATTTTACAATCCGTTTTGAAACAAAGAGCCCTTTATTCTGTTCATGCATACAAACATCACGGGGGGGGGGGTCAAAACTGAAATTTCCGAATTCTGAAACCTGAAATTTTTTGTGATTACAACACTTACTTCATATGTGGAAGTAAAAATGACACTGAAGCAGTAAAACCAATTGCTAACCTACAAAACTTTTGAATTAAAAAAAATACTTAAGATTTCAAAGAAGTGCAAAGAGGCTAATAAATTATAAGAATTGTAGAAGAAGTTTGTCAATGGTTAACAACTAATGTTCACAATATTTTGGGGCAGGCTTTCTGAAACTGAAAGCAAGTGGTTATTTATCAGACATTATAAGTTTTTAAACTAATGCTACTAAACAGTTACATTGATGTAAGTTAATGCTACTTATATCTATATTTTAATAAATATTCATGCTGTAATTACATTTAATTCATGTAACAAAATTATTAATTTCCTTCACATATTTTTCTGACTTCGTTCATTAGATATAAGTAGCTCAATTATTTAAAAATTATGGTTGCATATAAGAGATATCCTTAAATGAAATTTGTTTTAGTAGCTTTCTTAAAAGATAAATGAAAGGTCATGTCAGCAGGTGTGGCAGAATTAAATACAGCAATACTTAAGGTAGAAGAAATACATGAGAGTTAATTAAAAATTACCACAGGCATTCAGATATGCATCCCACTTGGGAGATGATGGATACCATTAATGAAAAAGTATTTGTTTTTTGGTGGAACAGTTTGATAAACATGAACATGAAAACTGCATTAGAGTGAAAGCATTCAAGGTAAAGAAGAACCTTTCGGCCATTCTTTGCATCCTGTACAATATTCACAATAGATAGATGAAAATTCTGATGCAGCACAATCACATCAAACTGATTTGTGTATTAAAAAAAAAAAAAAAAAAAAAAAAAAAAAAAAAAAAAAAAAAAACAGCTTATTTACAAGCTTGTCCAGTGTGTTCTAGAAAAGATTAGCAATGATGTTTAAAATCTGCTAACAAATGTCCTTCGTGGTTAAGAAATGAAGCACTTACTGATGGAAGGTCTTAAATTTTGGGGAAGAGGGGAGTTATGAGCCAAAATGGATGGAGAATGAAGGAAAAATAGGGAGACTTCATCTTTCATTACCTGTCCACTATCTAGAACAGAAAGGCAACTTCTGTTTTATAAGAAGCAAGGGTTCAAATTGTAATGCATGCACTTTTGCTTATAGTGAAACTCTTAAGAAAGCACACTCATAGGGACTTATCTGTGCAATTTATCATGAAAAATATTTTGATACTTCAATTCCTTTGTGACAACTGTTTGAACTGTCCCAAATTGATTAAATTCTCCTGTCAATGTTTAACTCTGACAGATTCTCCCATACTATTATGCATCAGTTTTGGGAATGGCTTTGTATGCTGCACCAATATGCATTTCTGCTTGTCAGAAGTTTTGTTTATTTGTGTTTTTTCCAAAATATTCATTACTAGTCAGTTATTGTAATTTGACACACATTTGTCACCATACACTGCTTGCATTCTGCAATAAACGTTGACTGATCAACACATTTCTAGGGTTAAGAACTGGATCATTGTTCACTGATCCACCTCGGTTGGATTCTGAATCCCATACACTGTACCATACTGTTAACAATCTGCAGCACAAGCCATACATGCAAAGAGAATAAATATGTTCTCCATTGCTCATTGATCTGTGTTTATTATTCTATTTGTGCCATGATCATGCTCCCAGTGTGCTGTTGAAGGAACTGAGATGTACTTCATTTCTTCATGTTTCATAATAAAACAGTAAATTTTATTCTACCTTTAAATGTCAAAAATAATTCCCATGGGTCAATCAGAAAAGATATTATCTGAAATGGATCTGCCCCAATAAGTTCAAATAAATGGTGATTATACATTACAATTCTTTTCAGTGTTTTAAAATTTCAATAGAATAAATCCTTTAAATTAATTTAATTTTTCACTTTAAAATATTTGAGGCTACAATGGCTTGCATGACCAGTCACTTCCAATGGCAAATAAAGTGCTATAATAATTTTAGATCTGAAAACAGAAAACTTTTATTGCATGATTACAAAAGTATAAACTTAAGGAAAGGGAATTTAGTTTCTCTATAGAGATTAGCTAATTTTTCATGCCAAACAGCTATTGAATGGCAAGACTACCTCTATGGAAAACTTTCTAGAAGAGACTGCACATATTTATGCTAAACATGGAGAGGGGGACACAGTAAATTTCAAGTAGTCTGTTCCTTCAGCAAGAGAGCTTGAGACGAATTACAAGCATCACTAAGCATTATCCATTTAATTACTTGTTGCCTTTGACAGCTAATGGAAGTTCTAAAAGCCATGCAGTAATCTGACAAGTTTACTGTTTTTTGATATAATAGCCACATGACATAAAATACCAAACATTTACTTTTTATTAACTTTCTTTCATATACCTATTTTTAGATAATCAATTATAAAAACTGTAAAAATATGCTGAAGATTTTTAGTGAAGAATTCTGACACTATCTTCAATTTAATGAAGGAGAGAGATGAGATGAACTTTAAATGCCTTGATACATTCTTTCAACACTACCCAAATCTCTTAACGTGAAAGTTTCAGACTCAGAACAACTAATGAAGGAGCACATGCAAAAAGCACACAGAATACAGAGAAATAATTCATAAAATATGCTTAGCAAAAGTTAGCATGCATCATTTTTTAAATGATTCCCACATGTAATTAAAGCAACGCAAAACAATTGAATTATATAAGAAGATTTCAACCAATTAATAATTACCCAAGGCTGTAATTACACAGCTTTCTGTTCCTGGTACAAAATCTTGAGGTACATGTAATTTTATTGCTGTGACTTGCAGATTTTGACTCTCATCTATTGAATCTAATTGGAGAAAAAAAAAATTATATTTAATAATTAAAATGCTCATATTTTGTAAAAAATCAACAAGTTTTACATCAGGTTAAATCTTCAATATTAAGACATCCAATATTGCATGATATTTTAAGTTTAGTATTCTTTCTATGAGGATATGTATAAACACTTAGCTTCAATCAGTTTTTGCTGTTACACGTCAGATTGTTTTCCCCATACTATTACAGGATGTAAAGGATAATTTCTGTGCTCAATATAATTTATTAATATCTAAAAAGTATAAGGTTCTTTCACTGTCTTAAATATTAATTATAAATATCAATTTCCAAAGTTTCATTTCAGTTTAAACAGAAATAGGTTTGCATTTAGACAAACAAAAAATCATTTTATTGCTGTTTGTTGAAAAGATTATAAGATTTTACTTGGTCTGAACTGGAACTTTAGGCCTAAAACTTTATCAGATGCTATATCTGAAACATTATGACTATGACCTGGAAGAGTTTTAAACAACCTTTTTATTAACAAAATTTTGAACATAAGGGGCACGACTTTGTGCTACAAGAAACCGCTACCTGTGGAAAGGTATATTCAATGATAACAATTCAATAAAATTTAAATGTTATAAGATATACAGAGATAATAACTTAAGCTAATCTGGCTGAACCTAACTTTACTGGCAAGTAAGTTTAAATCAATCGGCTGCAAGAAATATGCAAAGCTGGTAAAATTACAATTAGCTACATCTGGCAGAATTCTAAAAATGCTATGCAAGTGTCAGAAACTCTCTCTCTCTCTCTCAACCCAAAAGCCCTCAGCTTAAATGTACAACAAGCTAATTTGCATTCTGTTGAGGAATACAGAAGGAAAAAGTTAAAGTTAAGATCAAAATCATAATAACTGGTTAGAAACTTACAAGATCATTTATACTTTATTTTACAAAAATTAAAATACTTCATTTTTTAGTCATGTAATTATAAAAATTATATATGATCAAGGGGGGGGAATCCTCAATTCTATTACAACTAAGACATAAATGCCCCAGACAAAATATCACAAAATCAGAATTTATTCAACTTAGTGCGTGATTAAACTACAATGTCCCTTAATCACAGCTTGGATCTGATGGGACTTACTGTCGATGTATAGGTGGATGACATTAACGGTGATTTTTGTGCACAACTACATCAATCAGGTTATCAATTTCACAATAAGGATGTGTAGCATTCTTGACAACAAATTTTAAAGAATCTTAAATTTTCTCAGTGATATTAAGATCATGCAAATTAGTATCCAAGTGAGATATGTGGGACATCAGCTTCATGTTCTGCTAACTAGTCTGCTGAACACACATGGTACGGTGTACAGTGGTGCTGCCCAAGTAAACAGACTTGGTGTTAAGGCTCTCTTCATGCAGAAAGTTCACATAAAGGACAAAATGATATTTCAGGATAGAGATATAGTTTGCAGCCTTTGTTCGAGCATAGACTTGCACTCAATGGTCCAATAGTAATCATTCTGAAAACATCACACTTCTACTCCTGAACTGCACTGACATTTGGAAACAGTTCAGATTATATACCTCTCCAAAATCTCTTAGTTGCCTGGAACAAGCATCACTGGAATGCAAGTAGAAGATGTGATATGACATTTTGCAATCATACAGAGTTTAGTATTGATATATTTTAACCAACTGGAGTCTCTCTGTGGTAGCTGTGATCCATGGATGTCACCAGGATATATGCCCGAAAAATTCCATGCAATGCAGCTTTTGATGCAAGATGCACTTAAAATCTTACATTCTTGACAACAATTTTTTTTTTTTTTTTTTTTTTTTTTACTTTCAATTTTTAGGTATTAATTAAATGCCTTAGATAGCAGCAAATACTAAGCTGATCCAGAATAATATATATAAAACATCTGCGCATATCTCGCACGCATTTGACAGCATGAAGGTAGTGCATGCATAGTTACATCGTTCAACTTGAGAATTAGCCCAGCCATTTCGTTTGTTTATGTTTATATCTGAAGTCATTGTTTGCTGGCATCATGTTAAAAACAATCAATTGGTCTACCAGCTATGAAATAAAAGCCATTATCAAGTTTTTGAATGAGAGAAATTTTTCACCTGTGAAATTTAGCAAAATTTATTGCAGATAAGTAAAACTTACAGACAGAATGAAATGAGTGAAAGTGTGGTGCAAAAGTGGGTTAAGATGTTTAATAAAGGAAAGGAAAATGTTCACGATGAGGAGCGCAATAGATGCACGTCATTTATAAAAAAAAAATTGGCACGCTGCATTGGCAAAAAAGTTTGTTCCAATAGGTAATTCATGATTTCTGATTTGTCAATACATTTTCAAAACATTTCACAATCTTTATTACATAAAACTTCAACTGAACATTTGCACTACAAAAAAATTGTGTTCATGATGGGTGCTGAAAACACAAATGCACATTTAAAAACAGAAATGCATGAGAGCAGTTTTGGAGTTTTTGCAGCATTATGTGACAGAAGGTAATGACTTGACCCAGCATTAACCTGTGACAACAATTAGTCTCTGCTTTAGAACTAATTAGTAATAGCCATGCACCTCACATGCTAATGATTCTTCAGAGATAGTGCAATTTTTCAGCATTTAAACAGTACAATCTTTCAAATATACAGTCTTTCAGAACCTGAACAAATATCTCCTGGATTTGTTTGCTCAGGACAAATATCATTGCTTATATTCTGCATTTACAGTAGATGCTGTCATATCCAAGAGTGACACAATCTCTGCATCGTTGTTGCAGTTTTCAGTTGCATAACAGTGTGGCTCCTTTTTGCTAATCAGTAATGTCTTGTTTGTGGCCAATTTTCAATTTTATGAAAGAACAATGCACATTGATAAAGGTTTTGCTACACATTCAAGATTCTTACGTAACTTTTACCTCCTTCCTGTTCATACACATGATGTGCATGGCAGAAACTTACTCTTAAAGTGCAGATACAAGGTAAATGCTGATTTTGTTATGTTTAGCCTGGTTTTTGCTGTTAATATGGTGTACAGAAAAGCATAATGCAACGATTCTGAATTTTTTAACGTCCAGATAGGTTGTGGTCCCAGCTACTCTGGATATTTAAAGTTTTACTCCCCTGACAGCTTTAAAAATATTTAATAATTTAATTTTGAAAAACCATAACAATCAATCAGTCTGAAAGCTGTGAAATAAGAGCCGTTATCAAGTTTTTGAATGCAAGAAATGTTCGACCTTGTGAAATTTATTGCCAGATAAGTGACAGTTACTGAGAGAACATGATGAGTGAAGGTATGGTGTGAAAGGGTGTTAGAATGTTTAACAAAGGGAAAAAAAAAATGTCCACAATAAGGAGCCTAGTGGACACCTCTTGGTGATCACTGAAGAATTGGTATGCTGCATCAACAAAAAAGTTTGTTCCTAAAGGCAATTCATAATTTCTTATTGTCAATGCATTTTCAAAACATTTCACGATCTTTAATACACACACAGAGAGAGAGAGAAAAAAAAAAAAAAAACTTAGCGTTTACACTACAAAAAAAGTGTGTTTACATTAACAGACATTCAAAAACAGATACGTATGGGAGCAGTCTTTGAGTTTTTGTAGCATTATGTGAACAGAAGGAAATGATGTTTTTAAAAGGATTGTCACCAATGAAACATGGATTTGTTATGAGACACCTGAAATGAATGGCAGCATGGTGGCTCCGTAAAGCCTAAGAAAGCAAAGACACCATTATCTTACAAAACAAAAAAAAAAAAAAATCAGATACACTGTGTTTTGGGATTATTAAGAAATTTAGTGGACTAGATGGAATGACGCACAGCAATCAACATTACAACTTACTGTGTGTTGCGTAATTTGAAGAAAAAGGCTAGAGGGCTCTGTTGCTCGCATAGTTGAAAAAGAATAAAGTTTGTTCATGTTGAAGGCGGCGGCCTAAGAATAAGCTCTGTACATAGTGAATTAAAATATTGTTAAAAATGTAAAAGTGTTAAAATTAGTAAACTCACTGAACCACCATCATCTGATTTGGAAATGCACAATTTATCTCATGGTGCATGCGGCGTAAACTAAGACTTTGTGAAGATTTTAGGTGTTCGATCTAAGTGTTTTGATTTGAAGTTAACAATGGATATTTCATATTCAAGGGGCAATGGAATTCCAAATAAAGGTAGGGAATCTTAAATTAATTATTTAGTGATTATTTGTAGTAAATTAGTAAGTATTTATTAATGCTGCCGTGGGTGTATTTAAATTAAATAAAATGGAAGATAAGTTAGATAGGTTGAAACGTAAACATTCCACATTGAGATCATCTGTTACTAGGTTAGTGATTGAAGATAAATTCAAAATTGAGAGGGAGGAAAATTAGATTAAAGAATTACGGGAATTGTTTGAATTATTAACCAAAAAGAAAAATAATTTGAGAACGCTTGATGATGAAATACAAGAGTTAATTGATGTTAACTTAATTGAAGAAGATTATAGTGTAAGCGAAGAATACAATGACAAATGTATAATTGCTTGTAGTCAAATTAAGCAGTTTCTAGGTGCTGTTACCACAGTACCGGCAGCGAGGAAGTTTTGATTTAAACCAGTCTAGTGGTAATGCAATTTTGCATGTAAGTTCCAGTTTTAGTGGGAGTAGTACGCTGAAATTACCAAAATTAATAATTGATAAATTTTGGGGAGACCCCAAACAATGGAATGAATTACGGAATAGTTTTGAAAATTCGATAGATAAAAACGAAACGCTTTCAAAAATACAAAAAATTGCATACTTAAAAACATTCTTAACGGGACAAGCTTCGAATGTTGTGTCAGGCTTTGAGTTAACAGAAAGTAATTATGATAGTTGTAAAGCATCACTAAAGGACAGATATGGTCGAAAAGACCTGATCATTTTATTCATTCATGAATAAAATTCTCAATTTAGAAGCCGTTAAAAATTCTGATAACGTAAAGGCTTTACGTAAATTATATGACG